GCGCCCGCACGCCGCGGCGCGAGGCGAGGCGCGCGGCCGCCGAGAAGGAGCTCGGTCAGACCCGCCCTCCCGCGTCGGGAGGGCGGGGGGGGGGAGGGCGGGGGGAGGAGAAGGGCAGGGAGGAACGAGGGGGCGGGGAAGGGGCAGGAGGAGGAGGAGGAGGAGGGAGGAGGAGGAGGAGGGGAATGGGAATGGGGGGAGGGAAGGGAGGAAGGACGGAGAGGAAGAGGAGAAGGAAGATGGGGGAAGAGGAGGAAAGAAAGACCCCCCGACGGAGGCCCTTCGCGAATGCGGGCTCGGCGACGGGTCCACCGTGTTCCTGGGTCTGGAGCCGCAGGGGTGGGGTGGGCGAGGAGAGGCGAAGGCTCACTCAATCCCTCGCGCGAGGGGGGGGGGGGTAGGCGAAGCAGCTGGCGAGCAGAGAGAGGGAGGAGGAGGCGAAGGAGGAGCAGAGTGGAGGCGAAGGGGTGGGGGGGGTCGAAGGCTCCCCCCTCACTCGCCTCCTCCTCCTCCTCCTCCTCCTCGTCCTCCTCCTCCTCCTCCTCCTCCTCCTCCTCCTCCTCCTCCTCCCCCTCTTCCCCGACCCTTTTTTCCTCCTCCCCCCCTTCCTTCCGGCGGCGGCGCGTGCGCATAACGGCGGGGCGGGGTGGTTCAGGCCCCACGGTTGCATCACCGCCCCTCCCGTTGGCGTGGAGCGCCACAGGTATCCGCCCCGTCTACCTCATTCTCTCTCTGACCTTCTCCTTCGTATCTTCTCCATCCCTTCTCCCTCCCTCCTCCGCCCCTCCCTCCCTCTGGCTGCGGGTACTTTTACACGGTCGGGATTTTTTGGATAGCGTGTCGCGCCGCCGCTTCTGGCCCACCACGCTTCGGCGCGACACGCGATCCACGTCCCAGTCCCCCAACGTCAACGTCCCAAGCGTTTCCCGACATACCGCCCCGCGGTGCGGGGCGACACGCTATCCGCTCGCAGGGCATAGCGTGTCGCCGGGGCCGCCGTGGCGACACGCTATCCAAAAGTTCCCGACCGCTGTCCTGTTCTAGGACAGTCCACCCTAGCGGGGCCAAGCGATCCTGAGAGCAGGTTGATACCCCCCCATCCTCTTTCTTTTCGCTTCTATCTGCTCTCTCTCTCACCTTCCTTTCTTTACCTTCCTCTCCTCTTCTCCCCCGTCTTGCTATCAATTCCTGCGGGGGAGCGGTTCCCTGTCCCCCCAATGGGTTTGCGCCCCCGCTGGGGGATAGGCCCCCGCTAGGGGCGAGGCTACCCGTAGGCTTTCCTTGCGGGCCCAACGCTTGCCAGAGAGGCATATTGAGTACGTCTTCGACGATGGCATCGTCCGACGATGGCATCGTCCGCCGCCACCGCACCCCCGCACCCCCCTCACCACTGGTTGCCTCTGGACTTGCTGACCAGCGCTGGGGCGTGATTCCAGGACCAAAAAGTGCGCTCTGGCCAAGGTGTGCGGTGGCGGGTGGTGACGGGTTCATCGCGTTGTGATGCGGTCGTTGGGCGGGGGCGGGGGAGTGGAGGACCCCTTCCCGCCTCTGCGTGGCCCTGCTGCTGGCCATATCTTCGGCCAGGGGGGGCCGAGGCACTCAATGCCTATGCGTCTCTCTCTCTCTCTCTCTCTCTTTATTCCTCTCTCTCTCTCTCTCTCTCCCTCTCTCTCTCTCTCTCTCTCTTTGTTTATCTCTCTATCTCTCTCTCGTTCTCGTTATGTGTACTTATATACAGTTAAATGTATGTATGTGCTCTCTTGTTCTCTCTCTTTCTCTCTCTCTCTCTCTCTCTCTATTTCGCTCTCTCTCTCTCTCTCCCTCTCTCTCTCTCTCTCTCTCTCCCTCTCTCTTTTTGTGTTTCTCTCTCTCTCTCGCTCTCTCGCTCTTTATATTCCTCTCTCTCTCTCTCTTTTTGTCCCTCCCTCTCTCTCTCTCTCTCCCCCTCTCTCCATGTATGTATGTATGTATGATGTCTGCAGATACACGTCGCTCTCAAGTAAGCGTTTTGGTTCAAGTAAGGGCTTGGGCCCAAGAATGGATCAAGGGGCTCGCGGGGCTCAAAGGGCTTGCGCCCTGGCGCGCGCGTCCACGCCCGAGAGTGTTGCACCAGGGTACTGGGGACTTGAGTGATGGGAGACGCCGCAGATGTCTCTTGCCTGCGCTCTCATATCGAATCAGACCCTGAGGCTATCGGAAACCTGCAAGCCAAGTTGGAGGCCGTTGGCACATCAGTTTCTTCCAGTCTGGCAGGAATTGGCCAGATGTTAGCCGAGGCTGCGCAATCAGAGATCCGGAGACACTTGGAACCCCTACAACGGCGACTGGCAGAACGATTTCAAGCATTCACAAGTCGGCTGGAGAACCTTAGGGGAGGAACCACTACCTTGACGACCAGTATATCGACTTTGGGCTCTGCGCGCATTATGCCTTCTTGTGCAGTTTTGGGGGGTATGTTTTCAGGGGGCGGCGATACTCGCACGGTGTCGAGAATTCAATCATAAATTGCACTCATAAGCTGGAACACCCAAAAGCGGCAGGCAACGCGGACAGGATAAATATTGTATGATTACGTCGACGTTACGGCGGAGACACTGCGAATGCATTACAACCGATTGCAACATGGACTCTGTGATCATAGGATGGGCTGTCGGTGAGAACGACAGCGACAAGCGACGTTGCGATTGTCATACCGGCGAAATGGACTGACAATATTATTCGGGAACGTATTGATATGTGTTGGGCCGTTGTTGTTGCGGTTTCTCTTCATGTCTGCATTAGGCCATATTCTGGAATACGAGAAGAAGAGCATGGCGCAGTCGGAGACGCTGCAATCTTCAGGCTGCCATTGCAGTAGCCCGGGGGAAAGTCAACCAGAGGTTGCGATGTCCTCTGACCTTTTTGAGAGTGGATGCTAACACATCGCTGCCATCACGCGTGCCAGGCACTACTGGCCAGGTGGTTGCTGCGCCATTGAAGTCACACGCGCCAGGCATGCAAAGGACGTTTCTCGGGTGTCTGAATAGTTTTGGTTTGAAGGCTCACAACACAGGTGGGAGTCTTGCGCCAACTTACCATGTTTTTTTTACAAAGGTAGGGCGCAAACGCACAGCCAGGAGTAGGTCGCATATTGATTAAGTATGGTCAGATGTACAGGAGGATAGCGGCGGAGCCTGATGGAACCATCGATTATGTTCCCAAACTCGAGCTGCGCAGGTCAGACCACCCTCCCGCACACAGACGGCCCACATCAAGCATGGCCACTCCAACGGCGAACACGTCCCAACTGCGCAGAACGGCCGCCCAGCAGATGCAGGCTTGGGACTTTTCTATTTTGCCGGACCAGGCGAGATTCAAGCATGCAGTCAGTACTCACAGACGCGATTGTGCGTCTGGGGATGCGTCTTCTCGCGCGCGCTGTTGCCACCGCCGTTGGGGATAATACGAGTTGCACCTTCGATTCAATATCCAGGACCGATCTTCAAACCTTTGGGAGGACCACCAGGGATTGCACGGAGGTTAAACATGGGAGTGCGGTTGGGGATATGGGAATGGGCGCGCAAATCAGGGGAGCACTTCGATCTGTTGCCCGGGGGCATGGAGGTCCATGCCGCACCCCAGCGACCTCGTTGCAGCTAGCTGGCGCAGAGACCTCTGACTCTGACCGCAGCGATGGGGCGGGCGCCCTCGGCGAACTGGCGAGCAAAAACCCTTCTTCAGATGCGGAACACCAGGCAGCGTTTAGAAAACTGGTTTTGGGACTTCGGTTGGAAGCCATGTCTGAGGAAGTCGATGGCATCAGCAGTGGCGCGCAAGCATTCGGCGACTTCCTGGGCGAGCTTGGGGGGCCGCGCGATGGAGCGGCCGTCGGGGCAGATCTACTATTGGGCGCTGCGTGGAAGCATTCGCCGCGCTGGTTCAATGTCAGACTGCGCGAGGTGCTCTGGAGACGCTTCAAGGACATACATTGGGAGGGGAGCACTCTGGAGTCATGGAATGAATTCGAGCTTCTGGACATTCCACGAACACGTGACCAGAGGACCTCCAATGCTCACGGGCGGCTTGGGGCTCTCACGCATCTTTGCAAAAGGTTCGATTCGATTGTTGACGCCGCAACCTCGCGGACGATCCTCGCACCCCGGCGCCCCCGCAGCTGCGGGGCGCCCGCGCGGCACTCGGCGCGGCCGAGCACGTCGACGCGCGCAGTCGTTTGGCAGAGCGCGGGGCGACGCCGAGCCAGACGCTGGCACTCGCGCGCGGCCGCGACAACTTGAATGCGAACCTCACGGCGCCGGGGGTCGCTTCCTTCGAAGCAGGTTCCGATGACGCAGGCGGCGCGCGCGCCGGGGAAATACGAGCCGCGCGCGTTTGTTCTTACGTTGGATACAGCACTGGAGGAATTAGCCGCCGAATGGCTCGGTGCCCACTTGAAGTCATGCGGGGAATGAGTCGCCAGTGTCAATTGGATGGATAACGCATTCGTCTCGGTGGCTGATATAGGGCAATGGCGGCTTATGACCTACGAGCACGACAGCGCTGTTGCATCGCAAATATGGTCGGGGCGGGGAGGCATCTGTCGGCTTGAAGCAGGAAGTTTTCGCCTCGCCCATGCCTCGCTCGAGCGCCCCGTACTTGGCGCCCATCGTCCACCTGGCGAGCGCAACGCTATGGGACGCCACCCGGCGGGAGAGAATATGTTTTGAGACGCGTCGTCTGGTTGCGCCCAATACCGGACGTGGGGGGGCGAAGTGTTCGCTTGCATCGAATTGCCAGGAGGACCGACCATTGGACGCATGTCATAAACGAGAAACCGAGACACGTCGCCATCATCGAAAGAAGAGGACTTCAACGTGGCGAGAGCGGTCGACTGCGACAATCCTCGGCCGCGTCCGCACGGACCGAGATAGACGGTGTTGGGACTCAGTCGAGACGCGCCAGTGGAGCGGCGAAGACGCATGTGTGTTTCGGCGCATTTGCACCGCGGCAGGCAGAAGAGCCAAGACGCGGTGTTCTATGCAGCATGGGGCCCAGAATGCCGCGACCGATCTCGCCGCTTTCTCTGTCGTGAAGAGTGCATGGCTGCCAGAGATTGTTGCGTGCATAACGCTTGTGCCGGCTCGGGTCTACCCGCGGTGTCGCGAGAGGGTTTCGCCGAAGTCCGCGAAGAAGTTGTTGTCGCAAAGCCGGCCAAATCCCAGAAGATCTGGGACGTATCCGAAATCAGATTGATTGTTCCCTTGCGGCGCGACGAGTTGTGGGATTTGGCGTCAGACCGTCTGCAACAGGGGTTCGTCGCAGACAACCTGACATGTGGCAGAGATCGGGGATGGTGTGACACGCATGTTAAACAACAGGCATCTTCAATCACCCGATTGTTTATGACTGCGGCTAAAATCCCTTTATAGTTCAGCGTTTCATTACAAGGCCAACTGCTTAGATCCAATCGATTGGAGGCCCCGTAAGTACAACCAACCTGCTGATCACATTGCGAACTGCGCACTCGCTGGAAAAGCCGACGTGGACACTTTGAGTCGCGCCGACGTGACAGAGCATTTGAGCAACGCAGTTGCCTTGCAATTGTTTTCGGACGGAGGCTATGTCAAAGGAGCGGGCGCTCTTGATATCTTTGTTGTTGGGGCTCTCCCATGTGATATTGTTGTTCGCGCCGAGATCCTCGGAACGAGCCTGGGGGATCTGGTACTCCGAAGCAGATTCCGTTTGTCACATGGAAGTAGAAGCACCCAGTATGGTTACGCGATATGTCGTCGATCAGGCTGGCAAGATGTTGCGGCTGCCGAAGCGAGCTCGTACTCTGTGATCTCATACTCTGCAGCAGCACGAGAAGCGGCACTTTGCACAAAAATGCAGATCGTTCTCTCCCTCTCTCTCTCTCTCTCTCTTTCCTGTCTCTTCTCAGGTCGGCTTTGATCTGTGCTTGTTCGTAGGTTCGCCCCAGTGTGTTCTGCCCGGCGGTTTCACCACCCGTTGCGATTGAGATTGCAAGGCGGGGGGTGGATGGCAGGACGAGGAGGAAAGCACAGGCCGACGGAATGGCCCTGAGCTGCACCGACTGCACCTCGTCTAACTCTCGGCGGCGAGCGAGGGGGGGAAGTGAAAATGAGATGGCACTATCAGCAGGCATTGGGGCCTCCCGGAAGCCCTCCAGCCTTCCGAAGGGGTCTGCTGCGTCTTCGGGGAAGGCTCGGAAGACGTCTTCCGAGCCTTTTGAGAAGGCCCGATCCTTCTTGTTTAACCCCCGGGCTCTCTGCCGAAACTCGTTTTTAGGCCCTCGAGGAACAGCGAGTGGGAGGAGGAGGAGGAGGAAGAGGAAGAGGAAGAGGAAGAAGAAGAAGAAGAAGAAGGAGAAGGCGAGGAGGAGGAGGAGTCGGCGGGGAAGACAGGGAGGAGGCCCCAACCGCATACTCCCAGCGGCGCTGGGCCAGCCCAGAGGAGCTGGACGGGGGCGGGAAGAAGCGCAAAAAGAAGACCTACACCAAGCCTAAGAAGATCAAGCACAAGCGCAAGAAGGTCGATGACGATGGCGCCACCGACGACGGCGACGACGGCGGCGGTTGCGACAACGAAGACGAAGGCTGCCTACGACGAATCCAAGACGACGCCGACGACGACGACGACGACGACGACGACGACGACGACGACGACGGTGACAAGGTCAAGCTGGCCGTGCTGAAGTTCTACAAGGTAGACTCCAGCGACAAGGTGTCTCGCCTGCGCCGGGAGTGCCCGCACGAGCTGTGCGGTCCAGGCGCGGTCGTCGTCGCACTCTTCCTCGTCGTCGGTCGTTTTCGGGTGTATTTAGGGGCTACACCAGCGTCATGGGCCCAGTCCATCCTGTCAAGTCTTTCGAGCTGGGTCCAGCCGTGATGGCTGGACCCAGCTCGAAGGACTGGACAGGATGGTCCCCTGGATCGGGGTGTAGGGCGCCTTGTCTGGTCCAGGCGTGTTCATGGCCATGCATTTCAACCGCTACTACTGCGGCAAGTGCCACCTCACCTACCTCATCAAGAAGGGCGACGGCGACTGATGAGAGTTTCCCTCAGATCCGGGCGTCCTTCGTGAAGAAAACACACGGCACGACAGGACTTGAGTTTCTGTCCAGTTTCGAGCTCCAGGGCCCTTACGGACGGTTCTGGCTCGAAAATGTCACCGTACACCAGCAAGAGTTTGGTAATCTAGCCATGACGTGTCTACGACGTTGTGTTTTTTTCCGCGACGTCGGATCCTGGGTCTAGGTGCGCCAGCAAAGCCAACGCATGCGGCATACCTCGTGCCCTTGTCATTTTCTCGTTCGTAGGATCTGGTTGGGCGCGGGACAGGGGCAGAGTTTTGTCATGCGGGTTGTTTCAGGGCCTTGACGCGACCATGGCGGCGGCGGCGGTGTCGCGCACCACCAAAAAGTGCCCGATCAGAAGCGAACGGGCACGCCCTCCCTCCCTCGCAGGCGCACGCATCTAAGCGAGAAGCGCGCTTCGCGAAATTCATAGCAAAACGACGCAAGAGTTTACCAGGGCCAGGCGAGAAGCCTCGACGTCGCGTGCTATGTGTGTGTGTGCGCGGGCAGCTGGCCGCGTGTTGCACCGTCCTTTGTGCCCACTGCAAATCAGATCGCTGCATTCTCGTCGGCCATGCAGTTCGTACTCCTGCCCTTCTGCGCTGGCCTTGCTCGAGACAGCATTATTGTTATGATTATTGGTCACCCGCTCTCCTTGTCCACATCTTGATCCTCCTCATCCCCCGTTTTGCTCATCCCCTCCTTTTGTTCTTAGGCTATCTCATATTGTTTCCTCACTTACTCATCACTCCATCTCTCTTCATCTTCGTTCCTCGTTGTCCTTCTACCCTCCCCTCGTCGTGCTCCTCCTAATCCTCCACGTACTCCCCTCCTCGTAATCATCCCTCAAATCCCCCTTCCTCCCTCCTCCCCTCATCATCCTCCCGCTTTCCTCCTCCTCCTCCTCCGCCTCCTCCTCCCCCTCCCCCTTTTCTTTCTCCTCCTCCTCCTCCTCCTCCTCCCCTTCCTCCTCCTCCTTTCCCATATCTTGTCAGTATAACTAGTTTCTCCATGTGGCACCCCGAGGCGTGTTTTTAGGGCGGGCTGGGCGTTTCGCCTGAGACTTTCTCACCATTCATGATTTCGAAGCTTGAAAATGACAGCAGTTTCACAGATGGAGGGCGGGTCGTTTTCAAAACGTGGCTCTCGCCTTAGCGCCGCGCACATTCGTTTCAAACATTTGCAAGAGTGTCACGGATTGAGGGCGGGTCGCTTTCATAATGTGGTTATCGCCTTAGCGCCGCGCACACTTGTTTTTAACATTTTACAAGAGCTTCACGGATTGACAGCGGGTCGTTTTCAGAATGTGGGTCCCGTGTTAGCGCCCGCGCATTTTCGTTTTGAAAAGATGCAAGAGCTTCACGGATCGAGGGCGGGTTGTTTTCAAAATGCGGTTCTCGTTTTAGCGCCGCGCACGCGCATGTTTAAAAAAAAATCACGAGATTTACCGATTGAGGGCGGGCGGTTTTCAAAATGTGGCTCTCGCTTTAGCACCGCGCACATTCCTTTTGAACATGTGCAAGAGCTTCACGGATTGACGGCGGGTGGCTTTCAACATGTGGTTTTCGCATTAGTGCCGCGCATATTCGTTTTTCAAAGATTCGCAAGAGCTTCACGGATTGAGGGCGGGTGGTTTTCAAAATGTGATTATCGCCTGAGCGTTGCGCACATTCATTTTCTTCACGCTTCGCGGATCCCCACCAACCACGCAAGACGTAATCGACCCAGCCACCAGCCTCAACATCTACACGACCCCACTGGGGCGAATCGACATTATGAACCCCGTTGGCGAGACTCCAGCCGAGACCGTGAAGCGGCTTCAGAGGGACCTCGGTGAGTACTTCAACGGAGTATGGCACCAGCGGACGACTAAGAATCCCACGCGGTCTGGCCACATCTGCGCTGACCCCACGAAGCAGGACCCCGAATCATGCCTGCGTTTCCTCAAAGAATGGACCAGTCACGGCTGTGATGCGATGAAGAGGGACGACTCGCTTCGGCTGGGGGTCAATTGGGTTGCAGTCCGCACTCGGTCCAATGATAGGGCCAGGGCCAAGGGAACCCCTGGCAAGGCCAAAGGCAAGGGGCCCCGAGAGGACAGCGACTCCCGCTGGACGAGGACGCTGGAACCACGACGGGCCGTGGGCTCGCGCCAACCCTGGGTGCACCCCTAAGTCTCTGCCCGGGCCACACAGGCGAACGCACGCCACGACTCACGCCTGGCCATGAACGCCCCACACTGTATATCAGCGTGCCTCGCGTACCGTGCAGACCCCCGCCAAACGGTTTTTTTGTTTATGTCTCTCTCTCTCTCTCTCTTTCTCTATCTCCCTCTTCTTGTTTTTTTTTCTCTCTTTCTCTCTCTCTCTCTCTCTCTCTCTTTCTCTACGGACCCTGCCCGCTGCGGGCCCCATCCCTGGCACGTCACCCTGACCGCAGCTGTTAGCTGCCTCTCCCCTCGCCCCCGACCCCCGCCCCCCCGTCCTCGGTTCTCGCTACGGCAGCTGCCCCCCTGGCCCCTCACGCACGCTGCGACTGGCAAGCGCACCCCGCCCTCCGCCCGCCCCCGTCGCCCCCGCCCCCCACGCTCTTGTTCACACTGACTGCGGCCGTTAGCCGCCCACCCCTCGCCCTCCGACCCCCGCCCCCACGCCCCCCCGGCAGCAGCCCATTGCCCCCCGGGCTCTTCACTGGATCTGCGGTTGTCAAGCTGCATCCCCCCACCCTCCCCCCGCCCGCCCTTTTGCCCCCGCCCCCCGCGCACCCTTCTTCAATTATTATCTCGCGGTGCTGCGCGACTCTCAGGAGTTCGTCTTGGTGCTGGTGCTGAGCGGCAGCGAGGTTCGCCCGCTTCTCGTCTCTTCCGCCTTCTTACTCTTTTTCGTTTCGCCGTTCTCCTTTTCTGCGCTAATTTAGGCCGTTGCATCGACGCTTCGTTCTGACGGCGCCTGGCGTCTTCCGGTGCGCTCGCGATCAAACAAGTCCCCACCAGTTTATTCGGAAACCTTGGCTTTCAGAGTCGACGGTAAAAGGGGCAAAGAGACACATCTAGGGAAACAAAGCAATCAAGGGGGTGGCCTTGGAAGGCCTCTTCGGGCCATCCCTGGGCGCCACGCGGGGGCGAGGGGAAGAGGAGGAGGACGAGGAGGACACGGAGGACACGGAGGACGAGGACGCGGATGAGACGAAGACGAGGAAGACGAGGACTAGGATGAGGACGACGCGGACAAGGACTCATGCGACCATCTAGGGGTATTATTGCGGCTGTTGCTGCTGCTGGTGCCCTCTGGGAGTTTGGGGGGCCTTCTTGGAACCCTCTTGGTAACCCTGGAAGGCTTCTTGGGGTCATCTTGGAAGCCATCGATTACAGGATGGGGGGTTCCCACTTTAGCTCCCCCCCCAGGAGCCGGCAAGCCGCTTCTTGGGGCATGTTTGGAGAGTTTTTGGAGCGGTCTTGGGACAGTTTGGAGCATTTGGGGGGGCATCTTGAGCCAGCTTGGGCTATCTGAGCCATATTGGAGGTCATCTGGGGCTCTCTGACGCCGCTCGGGGGCCTCTTGGGGGCCTCTCGGGCGCCTCTTGGGGCCCTCTTGGGACCCTTTCGGAGCTTGGGAGCCCTGGAGCGCCTCTTTGGGCCATCTTCGAGGCTATCGATCAAAGGAGCGAGGGTCCCGATCGAGGTCCCCCCCCTCGGGGGCCACGATCCTCGTGAAAGGTGTCAGAAACTGGCCCTCCCAAGGACCGAAAAAAGGACCCTCCAACCGATCGCGGCCCCTTCCGTCCAGGTCCAGGGGAGGGGGCGGGGGGAAGGGTCAAGACACCCTCTCCGCACGCAAGCCGTCTAGCTCACCCCCACCCGCTCTCCCCTCACATAAGTGGCATCCGAGTCTCGGCATGGCCAGGGGTCGCCATTGGATGGACAGCCATTGGAAACCAAAGCGGACGCCCGGTGCGCGACGCTCGCCGCGGGCTCCACATGCAGCTGGTGTGCCATTATGGTGTTTTATATATATATATATATATACATACATACATATATATATATATATATATATATATATATATATTATATATAATACATATATATATATAATTATCCTGGCGATGGACCCAACCATATGCAGTTACGAGTACCGCAAAGCAGGTTGAACGAATGAGAGGGAACTCCCTATGGGGCCACGAAACGTGTGAGGGGTGTGCCGAAATGGGTGCGGTGCCGCCATGCGACGCAGCCACTGGGGCCTTCGGTGGAGCTCCCTATGGGGCCACGAAACGTGTGAGGGGTGTGCCGAAATGGGGGGTGGAACCGCATGCGGACGCAGCCACTGGGGCCTTCGGTGGAGCTCCCTATGGGGCCACGGTGTGACGTGTAGGGGTGCCACGAAACGAAATGGGGGGTGGAACCGCATGCGGACGCAGCCGCTGGGGCCTTCGGTGGAGCTCCCTATGGGGCCACGAAACGTGTGAGGGTGTGCCGAAATGGGGGGTGGAACCGCATGCGGACGCAGCCACTGGGGCCTTCGCTGGAGCCCCCTTTATGGGGCCACGAAACGTGTGAGGGGTGTGCCGAAATGGGGGGTGGAACCGCATGCGGACGCAGCCGCTGGGGCCTTCGGTTGAGCTCCCTATGGGGCCACGAAACGTGTGAGGGGTGTGCCGAAATGGGGGGTGGAACCGCATGCGGACGCAGCCACTGGGGCCTTCGCTGGAGCCCCCTATGGGGCCACGAAACGTGTGAGGGGTGTGCCAGAATGGGTGTGGGAGGGGGAGGAGGGGGGAGGAGGGAGGGAGGAAGGAGGCGGGACCGCGGGGCACCGTCTCTTCAAAATGAGGACCCAACACCACAGGATGGTTGGGGAAAAAAACACTGATGCCCCCCCGTCCGCATGGTCCAGATGCTGATGTGGGGGGCGTCAGCATTGTTTTGGGCTTGCGCACAGCAAGCATCAGCATGCGGGCACCACCGCCGTCCTTGTCTAACAACCATACAAAGTGATCGCGGGTGGCCAGCTGAATACACACGACGTTGTCGCATCATGCGCTTTACATTGTTTTTGGCACGGATGATGGTCCTGCACAAAGCGGCTTCACTAAGGGTGCCCCGCCATCCCTGTCGGACAAACAATACAACGTGCTCACAGGGCGCCAGCGCACTATCCCGATCTTGCTGCAATGTGCACTCCGTATTGTTGTTTGACAGGGACTGCGGAGGGTGTTGGCAGGGTGGGCCCCGCAATCTGCATTTTGTATTGTGTTCGACAGGGATGGTGGGGGGGGGGCCCTCATGGTGTGCGCACGGTTCCGGGCTGGTTGCTGGTCGGATAGGGGAGGGGGTGTTTTTTTTTGTAGGGAACAGTGATAAACCCTTCCCCGGAAGGGGGAAGAGGGGCTTTTGGAAAAGAAAGTCATCGTTAGACCACCTGCGCCC